TTCAATTAATAATTATTTTTACAAATACTGCTTGCCAAATCATTTTACTTTGTTAAATATTACATGTGAATGCGTTCAATAAATTACAATTATAAATTTAGCCGTGCAATTTGGCAAACGTCTTGTTACGCCACTTTTATCGGGAGTAAACTTTAGGCCTACTGGTCAGCATTATGTATCACACCCCTGTTAATTTTAAAATGGTAAACAAAATAAGATTTACTGATTGCAATAAAAATTTAATTTACATACATATTTAATTGGCATAAATATATATAATTAACTGTGAAATGGCGCAGTAAAACACCTTAATAGAGCGTTTTGAGTCAACCTTTTGTGTGTCTAAAGCTTTTTTGTGTCTAAAGATTCTTTAGCAATTTTTATTGCATTCAAACCTGTAAATATAAGGTACGCAATTTTGAGATTTTGACTTGTCGGGAAAATCATGGATGCTGTCTAAGCCCACCTACTATTAAAGAAATATAAACTAAAGTAAAATGAAAAGTGAAAAATGTATTTTATTTAGACAGGCAAAGTTAGCGCCACATGGCCCTTTCATACACTCAACACGTCCATAAATATAAGGTATATATTTAAAAATTAAATCAATAATACAACAAAACTAAATCTAAATCATAGAGACATAAAATTAGACAAAATATAATACTAATTAAATAAATTACTTACTCAAAAGAAGATTAAACAATTAAAGGGAACCCTATAATTTTTCATGCAAATTTGTTTGAAGGCCCACAGTAGGCCCAATAAATTTAAAGACATATCTTGTGTGTAGTAAAAAAAAATCGTATTACGTGAAAAGATGTTGTATCTTAAGCAAGCAAGTAGTACAAATAACCGGCTGATAACCAATGTTTTAACAAAAAAAGTTGGTGTGATCAACCAAATATTTTGATACCAAAATAGGTTAGTTACTTATCATTATATAATACTGTAAACATGGTTCAGCAAATATATTAGTTTATTTATAATAAACCTGTTTTAGAACACATATTTAGAAAACAGGTATGCCATAGATTTTCAATGTCAATAGTTAAGATGTGCTAAAACATAAGAATAGCGTATGCGCAATTTGTAAGCATTTTTCAAAAATCATTGTATGTTCTCCTAGAACTAAAAAAAAACTTAAATTAAAAGTGACTTTGATTATTATAATATCTTCAGGGTAATATAGAATGGAATAGAATACAGTATAATGGAATAGAATACAGTAGAATAAAATTGAATATAAATTTAAATTGGTTATTTTTAATGACATTTCTTAAGCACGGTTGGGGAGGTGGAAATAGAAATATTTATGATTTGCCAATCAAGTAAACAATTAGAAAAAAAAAACTCTTTACCGTCCGAAGCCAATTAAAACTGCACGCTCCTGTCTAAAAGTTAGAGTTTGCTGAGTCAAGCAGTCTTTCACTTTGTCACTCTACTGCTAAAGATTAATTAAATTAAACTCTTCTTTCCGACATTGCACTAATGGATTTCAATAATACATCTGATAAACTGCAGCATAAATGAATTAAAAGTTTCAGTACATGTTAAGTAATAATTAATTGATTATACTCCTTTATTATTTTCCTCACCTTCCAGTTATGGGCTTCAGAAGTAAATCAGGTAAATATGACAGCCTATGTAAATACAAGTCTTAAAATACGAATAGTTTCACATTTAAATATAATATACCTACTAACTTTAGAAACAAATTTAAGTTAAATTAGCCGACGGTGACCGGGTTCATCTTTTATTTTAACAATCTGTCAAATTCTGAGACAACCCATATGAACGCATCTCCCAGATAGTGTGTAAGCTATTGCCAAGCAAAAACTCAAATATTTAAAAAATGGCCGTAACAAAAAAAATACATCTGGTAGTCTGCTAATCTCATCCAATAACCTCCACATAACTATAAGGCTGATCTCATCATTACCATTTCCCCCTCAAAAACTTTTTTTGTTTATGTAACTCAATTAGAGAGCAGTCATTCAAGGCTAAAAAAATTACATATATTTTACAATGTAGCCATTACAGAACATATCTCTCAATGTAGCCAATGCGGGTACTTGCCAAATGAGCAAGCCAACTACTCAGCCATAATAATGGGTTTTAACTATCTTACCGTAGAAAGAAACGCTATAGTCTGCATTCTTTAAGATTGCCAGGGATGGTTAGTGTTCAACATGTCCATTGTCCAGTCAGCTGTTTACAGACATACACTTTTTCAAACAGTTTGATATAGTGTGGCCTTACCTGACTGGTCAGCTTTACAAGTATTGTTTAGATTTCTCATACCAACAGATAAAAAAGTGTCTGTGAAGGGATTTGCCAAAATGCGTATCAAAATTTCCGCCATGTTGGTTTTTTACACATAAAACTTGTTATCTTTGAACATTTTCAACAGATCTTATTGGTATTTATAATAACAAACATATGGTTGGTAAAAATCAGTTAATCCAATATGAAATTGTATAATGATGGCCATTGTAATGGTTATAGCTTGAATTACTAAACAATGAAAAACTTTCAAGGTAACTTTTATTTAGCATTTGGAATTCCTTGTCAAACAACAAAAAGGTCAAAAATGTAATAATTTATAGTTGAAATATAATAGATTTTGAAATAATTTTTTTTGTAGTTAGTAGTTGTAAAATATGCATATAGCCAGCGTCAACCTTATTTTTCCTTATTTCAAAGTCAAAAACGTAATATTTCACTTATTCGTCATTCGATCCTTTTGATCTTGGTGTTGCTTAATCGGAAATTGTTAATGGTAAATAAAAGTTTTTTTATCATAATATTAAATTTTTTTATAGGTAAGCCATAACATTATAAATAACAAACATAACATTATAATTAACATTATAATTGCCACAATTTTCAAATTCCATATTGGATATAACGAATTTTTTCTGATATGGATATGGTATCTTTAATTACATACCTGTTTTAGCGAATTTCCCATATAGGGAATAAGCTATTACCGTAGTACTCATGGTAAGACCTGGACCCGGGACCGATTTTTTTTTCGTTTTAAGGTCCCTAGAGGCCAAAAACACCATCCGTTCAAATTCATATATATATATATTTATATATGTGTCCGTTAGCGCGATAACTCGAGCAAAAACGATCCGATTTTGATTAAATTTGGTACAAACGTCTAAACCTACGTTTATTCGAACGAGTTCGCGAATCAGCATGATCGGACCATGGGAACGGGGGTTTATGGGGGGTTTTATGGGGTAAAAATGGGTTTTTCTCACTTTTGACTGAAAAAACATAAAATTTTGCAATTTCTTTCCAAACTATTTTGTAGAGCTTAAAAAAACAAATAATTTAGTATATTGAAGCGTTATTATGCACCTAATTATTACGGAGAAAATTCCAAAAAATTTTAAATTTAAAATTCCCGTGTTATTCTTATGGAGAATAAGTAAACTGTTGTAGTTTGCTTGTTTATTAACATTTTTTGCCCAAATTTGGAAAATGTTTTTATTTCTTACTAACTATTAACATTTTACATAAAAAACACTTTTACCCTCCCTGTTGCAGCAAACCTAAGTATGTGTTAAACTGATTCTATTTAAATAGGGAATAAATGTGATATTTTTAAGGAGACATTTTAGTGTAAATCCAATCAGGCAAATGGAAATTCACTTAGTCTGCAGGTTTGCTGCGGCGGGGGTATTTATAAAGATCTGTTGAAAGCATTCATAGATAGAAACGTGTGTATATATAAAAACCAAATGGTATTTATATATCAAAGATATTAGTATTAAGTATATATATACGTAATACTAATATTTTTTTACACGAATCTAGTTTTAATAATGTGAAAAATAAAACAAAGTAGTTACTTTTATATCAATATTAACTCGTACAAGTTAAGTTTTTTACAAAATTTATGTACCAAAAAGGAAATTTTACTATCATTATTTAACTTTGTCAACCTAACATTAAAAGCGTTCACTAAAGTAAACATATTGTAGATCTAAGCAAGAATCTCTCGTGATTCCGAATACAATTTCAAACAAGGAACATATTTACCCTTATACTCTAACAGGATCCAAACTCCGCCGGGACCCAAACCCCTTATCCTGCACTATCACGGGATATTGGGTTTTTCTTTTATACCTTTTAGCTTTACTTACACCTACTTGTATTTTTCTAAAAGTTTGCCATTATCGTAGACAGGAGGAAAATAAAATAAAATGTAATTTCAATGTATACTTTAGAATTTATATTTATAATTAACGAAAAAAGATTTTTGAGAACGAAAAAAAATATCCCGTAGATTTTTATAAGGTAAAATACATTTTATGAAATATTCGTGGAATCACTTTATCTATTAACGTATTTTTTTATTACTTTATACCTTGCTTACCTTGTTTTGATCTATTTTGTAATTAGACTCTATTTTATTTTATTATAAGTTGTGAATTATTTGACCTTAGTTGTATTTTAACATATGTATATAGTTAGGTACCATATATAGTTGGGCAGTATTGAATACTTACCCTTTTCGAAAACCTATATTTTTACAGCATTGAAAAAATTGTTTACAACTTTAGATTAAACTAAGAAATAACACCATAATTTATACAGTGGATTGAAAACATATTATTGAAGTTATTTGTGTTTCAATAAAACTCAAACCTTGTATGAAAAATATTTAATAATATGACAACTTAAGTTATCTTATAACAAACCGTCACTTACGTATACTGTTTTACCAATAAATTGAAATCCTCCTATCTTAATTATGGCATATAGGATTAAGTCATAAAATAAAATTTCAATAAAATATATCTAGGATGGACAAAGTATAAATGTTTACAAATGAATGAAATTATCAATTTTATTGCATGTTGTATAATACACTAAAAATAAAGAAACTAATATGCCTAATATTAAAACTTCAATTGCTTTTATTATTATTGAAATATGTTAAATAAATTAAGTAATTGAGTTAATATAAATCAGTCTAAATCATTATTTGTTCAAAAGTCTCACTTTAGTTAATAATATGTAATTCAATATTGCGACTATCAACTTTAAGCTAAAGTAAAAAGCGAGTTGTTTAAAGTGCTTTTCTTTTGCAAGAACTTATTAGTAGTTCGTTTAAAACCACTAAAATAAAAATTATTTTACTGGCAAATATTGTTGCGATTTTTTTTATTTGTCTTTGATTTATAAAAACTCAAGGAATTGTATCGAAATATAATTCCTTATCATAGTTTTATGTTAATTATTATAAATATGTAAACGGTCTCAAATAGCAGTGTTTTCCAATCTTATGGACGTAGTACATGATCCTAAATCAAACATTTTGAACTTAAACGAGACATATATTTACTAATACAATATTGCACAAATATTAATAAGATGTTGTATATTACTCGGGATCCACTCGAAGAGTTTGAAACGTCCTTATCACCTGAAAAATGTTATTCATTAGATAAGAATCAGTAAATTCGATAACCGTAATTTTATGTACTCAAACTATGTATTCCATATAAATCAGTTAAAAATCATCTTTTGATTGCTATGTATTTTTTTCTTATGATTTTTTTTGCTGTAGATTGTGTTGCTTTAGTTCTACTTTAAAAAAAGTATAATGATCACTAACCAGTCTATCTGTGACTTAGCACACATTATCACCCATAATATTTTTTTATAATTAATTGTTAATTAGAAACTGTACTAAAATATAATTAAAAGGCCTAATAAACTTTGAAACTAAGATCAAATCTGTTTAAAAAACTGACACAGTTTTCTTTATTTTTAGTTAGGTTGTCAAGTAAACATAAAATATTCTTGAAACTATTTTCATGTTCAATAACATAATTATTTTTTTGTAATTTAACTAGGTTGTAGTAGCTTAATGTTTAATGATCCATCAACTATATTCTGATGATAACAATATACCTGGTCGTATACATAAAATCCCTATAAATTGATACTCACTTTCACGATTTAAGTTCTTCCTAGAACCAACCATGTTATCGTCTTCAGTTTCTTCAAGAAAATCATCATCTGAAAAAAACAAAATATTTGTATAATACAACAACAAACACCCTAAGATATAACTAGGCTTTGTCTATACAGTCAAGAAAATAAACAAACATTTGTAAGCAAGACGTTTTTACTCTACAAACACCATTTCAACTGTAATCATATTATTGAATACTCAAATAATGCAGATTACCCACATTTTAAAACCTGTCTCAGTAAATACAAATAGAATGAAAAATATGATACGAAAAGGAATATATAGTTTCTACACCTAGAAATGTAATGCTATACGTTATTATTATTGATACTTTTAATTAGTCCTTAGTTTTACTAGAGCAAGGGGGTGGTGTTTGATTTAAGGACCAGAACGTGTTTGAGTTGGTTTTGCCCTGAATAGACCATTTCCATGATTTTCATAGGCCTTCAAACAACTAGACATACCATTTGGTTCTGGACACAATAAGCGATGCTCTTCCTGATGAAGGAAAGTAAAAGATTTTGTTCTTATTTGAGGATCCTCTACCAAGGAAGAGAATCCTGATTGAGAATCCAAGGAAGAAGGTACTGAGATTGTAAGCTAAAAGAAACGTACGCATCATTCAGCATGTTTAAACTTGCATACCTTCTCAATGAATGTTATCTCAGCTGTTTTTCTCTTGGAGGGACGAGATAACAAAAATCAAGTAACAAAAAAAGTATCTGAGTATCTAAAAGTATCAATACTATTTTGAAATTATTAGTTTTTAGAGTATGTACATACTTTTTCCAGGTGCACTGTTGGTACACAGGCACGAACATTTATTACACTAAATGTATTATGCTTAGCTTTTTATGGTACGAAGTACTTGATCCTGTACAGTGTACAACTCCGTAGTTTTTCTAACATACTTAAAACAAATCTATAATTTACTGAAAATGGCTAATAAAGAAATTTATCTTGTCACACTTCCAAACGTATTTCGTAGTGTAAAAGTTAAAAGCCTATTTAATTTTTTCTTTGTTCATGCAGTCTGTTAAATAGATAACACATAGCTAATAGTACATCAACTTGCATTACCTATTCGTATACTGTTGTCGTCTGTTATTTCTGGAACATAAAATGCAATATTAGGTTGGTTAAATGTCATAGCAATTGAATTTAACCAATAACATTACTTTTACCAAAATGCAACTACTAATTAATTTTATAATTTTCTTATTCTTTTGTTTGATAAATAACAAAACATATTATTGCATTTTCATAATTTATACAATATATTTTTCAAGAAGATTATCAGGTTACATTGTACGGAGGTACCTAGTTCATTTTCGCTTTAAAAGTAGTCTGTAGCATGTAGAAGCTGGAGAAAACAAAATAATAAAGCTTTAAAGAATATTATTGACCTATATCGGGTGGACCAATTCTTCTAGATGTTAAATTACTTAACTCACTTATTTTTCCCTTCTCTTAAAGGGCTTTTGAGAAATAATTGAATAAAGATTGAACAACTGAGCGACAATATGCTGTCATAAATGCTCTTCGTGTAACTAGTTTCATGTTACAGTAACTGCACAACTAAATACCTACTGTAGACTTTGATTGAACCATCGGTGACCCCAAGTGCGTTCTTAGCAACACACATGTAGACACCAAAGTCGGACGGGTGGATGGCTCTAATGTTCAGCTTCATAATCACTCTGTACGCTTTGTCAAGCATCTCGGGCTCGAAATTGGCTCCTGTTGGTAAAATGTAATAATATTAACAAAAGAATATTAACATTCTAAATTGTTTAGGGTTTCATTTCAAATTTGTGTTTATATGAGTGGGTAGAGTGATTGCCAAGCAAAAAATCACTTATTAAATTTTCTAAAAATCTAAAACCTTTAAAATACCTAAGTTATATCAAGCTGTCCTTAATTAATTAATGGCTTTCAATAAACTTTTATTTATATAAAAACACCTAATCTTAGAAAAAAAAACTGTAACCTATTAATTCAACACTAAACTTAGCTTCGCAGATACTTTATTGCGTCTACGTCTTGAAAAAATGTAGTTTGATGTAATAGCTGAAATATTGCTATTTTTAGTTGTAAAATTAGTTGGAATAAGGCTAAGATAATCCAGTTTGTCCCATTTTACAACTACAAATCGTAATATTTCAGTTATTTCTTATTCGATCTTTTTGAACTTGGTACTGTTTGATAGGAAATTGCTATACTTCCTAGCTTGCTAATTGAAGTTGTTTGATAGGACTAATGAAAAAAATGTGTTTTGGCATTTTTCACAAAATTAGTCGTTTTCGAGTAATTTCAGTTTTAAAAATTAAATGGCCGCATTAGAAATTTTTTAGTTTAATCAAGTTGCATATTTGTTCTAAAATGGATCTCTTCTACCTGAACGTATATAAGCTACAAGTTTAATAAAGATCGGTCGAATAAAATCTAAGATAAAAATGTGTATGTAAAAATACAAAATGACGGATTTAAGTAATTAAGTGGTTCTAAGTGATTTTGGGAAAAATGTAATTCTTATCTTCTCTTTATTTTGACCCAAGGAATCACTTCGTAAATTATATTCCCACATTTGTTGAACACCCTGTATAAAACATACTTGTCATTTGTAGAGTTTCTGCTATAGTTTTCCTCATTGTACAGTTCTCTCATAAATAAAGACCTTATTCATTTATTTATTTATTTTAATTACAGTTCAAGTGTAAAGAGAAAACTGTTCACATATTTAAAACCAATAACATCATAAACGTCCCCACTATATTTAAATTTCTTTTTCGAGCTTCTTGGACTCTGTTTTATGTACATTCGATAAAACATTTACTATCAATTGTTATAAAACTTGATAAGGGCAAACTGTGTAACTTGTTTTAGTGAGCGATTTGGTTTACATATCTAGTTGTTTTATCAATTAAATGTACGTTGTAAGTTCAAAGATTTCCTCACCGCACTTTTTAGTAGTAAATAAAGAATTAACTATAGTAAAAATAATGTATATGTTTACTAAATTTGCCGATCCCTTTAGTAGTTCCGATACCTGTAAATGCATTATCATTACGTAAATGATTAATACATAAAAAATTTAACGCCGGATCGAAATTACTAGTTCAAAGCATAATAGGGATATTGATCCAATGAATGCAAGGTTTATTCGTAATGTTTATTCAACTAAATAAGATGAATAACGAAGCGCTTTGGCCGAGAACGTAATTCAGGATAAAATAACCAGAATACTCACTTAAATGAACACTCCCGCTCTGATCCTTTAGGCGGGCAGCGGATGTAGATGGGATTATTACGGACCAATTACGGTAAAAGCATTTATTACAGTTACCGAACCCTCATAATTTTAATACCTTGAAAAGAATGTACCTCTAAATATTCTTCCTCGTTTAGTTCAAGTAAATAAACCAATTTTAAGTAATGAGCTCGCCGGTGCCCTATCAAACTGTGAAATCTTGTTTCTTTCCATTCGGTGGATCATGTCGTCATCAGCTTTGAATGGGTAAATTTAAAATATGTGATAGATCGTGTTTTTTTTTTTTCAGTGGGATAATTATTTGAAACATACTTTATTTTTTTATGTTCATCTTAGACTTTAGTTGAACCTTTGACTATCAATACAACTGTATTGATTAGTCAATACAGCTAGTCAATAGCTTCTGTATCCAATTAATGGTCAATGGTTGAACCCTATAGTATTGGGACATAAATGTAAGTTTTGTTTCATGAACAAATTGTTAAATACAACTAATGTTAAAAGAATATCCTAAATAGGGAATAAGCTATTACCATAGGTAACACGGTAAGACCTAGACCCGGCACAAATTTACTTATCGTTTTTATGTCACCAGAGGCTAAAAACCACATCCGTTTGAATTCATATACACTATATAAACAATAATGTAACAACCTCTCGTGTATATGAGTAGGTTAGCACGATATCACGAACAAAAATCTTACAATTTAGATTGAATTTAGTTCTTTTTTGGTAAGCCTACCTTCATTTGAATGAGTTTACGCAACAGCATGATCGGAAAATAGGAGCAGGGTTGTATGAGGTAAAACAGTTTTTGTTTCTTATTTATGGCCCTCAAAATAAAAGATTTATAATTTGTTTATAGAAAAATATAAATTTTTGTACGCTTCAAAATGGTTATTGAAAGGTAAAAGAAATTTCAATTTTTCGGGGAGTTTCCACAAATATTTCACGGTGTTTCACGGAGAAGATTTAAATGAATCTATATTTAAAATGTCAATACTATTCTCATAGAGAATAATTAAACTGTTTACTGATAGAATAATAACTAAAGACTCTAAAAAAAAAAACATATTCCAAATAATATTACATTGGCTAAAACGTTAAGAAGAAGATTTCTTTTGAAATGTCAAGAAACTTTGAAATTCCAACATAGTAGTTTCCGGATGGAGAAGTGAAATATAACCATCAGTAATCCATATTTTTTTAATATTCTTAATAATGCCCTAACAATAAACAACTTTAAATTATTCTATGATTTGATTCTAAATATTAACCAATATATCGTAATGTCCGTAGGTTTTAACTGACACGGACAAGTTGACACTATTAAGTACATAGACTGTTATTGTATAATTTACCATATAATAAGAGATGATGGAATATATTTTGTGAGAAGAAGTCATATCATTGTCGAGCTGTCTATCAGGCTGACGACGAGATCGATATATGCAGGTCTTGTCAGCTTGTTATAAGGCATAATGTATGCGCCCCTTGAATACTTTACTGGCATACGATATCTACGTTACCCTCAAAAACCAACTACGCGCTACTGTGTATTGGAATTAAACACTTAAATAATTCACCATTCAATGTGTAAAATTACCAATTGGTGTAAGAATCTTAAGATTGAACCAAATAATATTTTTTTCGAGCGAAGGAATCGTAAATATAAATACCCCCGCCGCAGCAAACCTGCCGACTAAGCGAATTTCCATTTGTCTGAATTGATTTTCAGTTAAATATATTTTAATAACATTAGGTTTAACGAGTACCTAGGTTTGCTGCTACAAGGAAACTAATAAAGTGTGTTTTGAGTAAAATATTGATAGCTTAGTACAAAATAAATAAATTTGCCAAGTTTGATCAAAATATATCCATAAACAAGCAAACTACAACATTTGACAATATTCTCCATAAGAATAACATGGGAATTTTAAATTTACAATTTTTTTAATTTTCTCCGTTACTAATAATCGAACAAAAATACTTTTATATACTAAATTATTTGTTTTTTTAAGCTCTTTAAAAAGGTTTAAAGAAAAATCGGGAAATTTTGTGTTTTGAGGGTCAAAAGTGAGAAAAACCAATTTTTACCCCATAAAACCCCCCGTAAAGCCCCGTTCCCATTGTCCGATCATGCTGGTTCGCGAACTCATTCAAGTTTATCCCGCTTTACACCTTTAAACCAAATTTCATCAAAATCGGACAAAAATTACTCAAGTTATCGCGTTCACGGACGTATATATGTCTATATATATATATATATATATATATACATATATAAAAATTTGAACGAATGGTGTTTTTGGCCTCTGGGGACATCAAAATGAAAAAGTAAATCGGTCCCGGGTCTAGGTCTTACCGTGCCACCTACGGTAATAGCTACTTCCCTATAGGGAAATTCGCTAAAACCAAAATACATATTGATATAAACAAATAGCTTGAAGAAGATATAAAAAAACACCTTAAAACATCATAGCAACCCATGGATCATACAATAAACAAGCCTACGAAGTCTTCGACTTCTACACTCTTGTTATATTTAAAATTTGAATGGGTACTTGTAGAGTACCACAATAAACGCTTGAATTGATTTCTCAATCATAAAATGGTACTCAATTTTAATATTTCCATTACAAATAAATGCATTTAATGATTAAAATAGTGCTGGTTTTTCAGCTACTCATTTTGTCTAGTAATGGAGAAGCGGAATAATGCAACCATGTAGTGAAGATTAATTTTAATCTGTTATGGATATTAAAATGGCAAAGTAAAACTAATTAATTCCCCACAAAATTACACGATCAAGTCATTTCTGCCTGCTTAAAAAAGTCACCTTAACAGAGTTCAATAAACAAATGTTTCGTTCGCATTGCGTAAGTAAACTCACATGATTACAGCATTATTTATTCATCCACAAGAGGCGTAGGGTTCTCAGAACTATATTCATTAAATAAGTCTGTGTTTTGTTTGTTCATAACTCATTGAAAAAAGACGTATTCCAGCTGGACTATAAACAAAAACCGATTGAGCAAATTTCTTCATTTTAGATTTGAGGCTTAGCACTTGGATACATTAATGTTCAATCAAATTCAGGTTCCAGGGACTACGAACTACAATTAATATTTTTTTTGTATTTCGTTAGAATTATTTGTTCAAATAAGTAAATTGGTATGATGAAGAACAGAAATAATGGATATCGGCTAATTACAAGCAGGGCATAAATCTTATTTCCATTTCATTCATTTGTTTTTCATAAAATTGTCTACTTTTCGTTTTATATTTAAAACTTCCCCTGAACTTGGAAACTTGCATGCTGAATAATGGAAGAGATCATACAAGTATACATTCGAGTTGATAACAATTTATATATCCTCCACTAAAAAGATGTCAAGCAATGGTTGATTAAAATCACAGACGATCAAAGATATTAAGGAGAGTGAGATAGTATTTCTGCAAACCATTAAAAGATGGGTACTTTTGTATTTTACCGACCACACCTAAATTGGTAAAATAAAATCTATATGTTAAGTTAAATTATGTTTTGAATTTATTTTAACGAATGCAATGTAAGTTTCTTTCCATATTAAAAGCAATAAAGACATTTCATTCATTTCAGGTTAGGGAAGGTAGATTTTGTTATTTAAACCTATTAAAATTTTATTTGGTCAGTATAATACGAAAGTATCAAAATATGTAACGTGGTATTATCCATTTTCATTTTATGAAAAATAATATTAATTTCACCTCTAAAAAGGCGGGAATGGAAAAGGGTTGAAATCAGAAATGAGACAGTGGAAGAGGGTGAGGTGGCAATAAGCAGGTTAATGGTGTCAGAGTGCGATGAATGGACGCCAACATTGAACAGCACTTACCGTGAAAGATCATCTAGCCTCTGTCCTACGTCCAGTGGTTAATGGAACCAGATGGCTTCAAGCAGCATAAGTTCGCGACCCTACTATACCAACCTCTGAACCAGACTGTTTAATTGGTTTTAAATAGATTCACTGGCTTAAGTGCACAATTAACCTGGTGAAAGTAAGAGTGATTTATTTTTGATAGCTTTAGAAAGTGTTAAGTAAAAAAATATATTTAGAATGTTCTTTTTATCTGCCTTTACGAAATTTTAGTATTTAATTTAGCTAGGGGAAACTACACTTTAAGATCATGTAAAATATTTTGATACCTATTTTCACAAAACCTATTTTATACAAATTTCGAAATATTTATTAAACTTTGGTTGCGAAGATTTTTTTAATTATCGTCTTGTTTTGTGTATACAAGACACCGTCTAACTACTAAAAAAAAAATTATACAATTAAGTTATAAATTATAGTATGGTAAAAATTTTAATTATAATATATGTAATAATGTATAAGGCAATACCATAAATGTTATTAAGTAGTTAGATGGTGTCTTGTATACAAAAACAAGACAATAATTATAATAATATTCTCAACCTTAATAATTTAACAGATATTTCAAGATTTTTGGCATAAGTAAAGATATAAATTTTAGACTCATTAATTTATGTTATACATAATATTAGTTTATATTTGTGAAAAATTACATATTTTCCTACCATAACTATCTCGGAACCTTCAAAAGTGATTAGTAATAAATAGTTCAATCCTACTAAATGTCGTTAACCTTTTAGAATAGTTTTAATACAATTACTATCTTCCACGTTAACCCAAACACTTGTTATAACGATCTTACATAAAAAAAAAACAAGCCTGTATTCGTAAAGGTTTACACACACGAAATTCTAGTGAAAAAATTTTCCAAAATACTGTCATTACTATTTATATTGTATAGAGGATTAATAATCATTGGTGTGAATCAATCTGCGACAGATTATTAGGAAAGGTGATGAATAAATCAAAACTTCTCCAGTTAGTCAAAAGAAAAAATATATACAGTAAGTATATTGTTGTAAGTTAAATTAAAAACTATTAGTAATTCTTACCGTGGAATATCATCTGGCCCTTGTCCCTAGTCCAGTAGTTGATGGACTTTGGATAAGCTTCAGAATGGCACTCCAGCGTGAGTTGTTGCCCTTCCCTCGCTCCTACCAGCTGATTTGGCACGGATATCATGGGAGGAACTACACAAACGTAATTCTTGGTTAATTAAAACACAACATTATCATGGTAATAAATTACAATGCCCAAATAGTTTCTGAATATAAAATGTTCTACAGTAAAGATACCTTTTTCCTTGTTTGAAAATATAGGTATTACAAATTTGCGTCATTCTTCATTTTTAAGACCATGGTTGTCACATACCTAATAGCTTGTTAATTAGTTTTAAGAGCTCGGGCCTTAAAGATAAGGGCTCACTTGAACAGCGTCCTGAAATAAGACTTACGAATGTATGAGATATGAGAATAATAATATTATGAATGGATAAAAGTGTTATGCCATTTGTAAGATGAGGGAAACATTGTAACATTGTCTAAAGCGTGGTCAGCTTGATCTGTTTTTTTTTTTTTTTTTTTTTTTTTTTTATTAAAAGAAAGCAATTAGCCTCATATGTCTAGATTATAAAATATATTTTAAATCGTTTCTTGATTTCATAATCAAAGAAATATCCCCATGTAAAAAAAGGAAGTGACGGAAGAGGTAGTATCTACTTAAAGCATCATATATTGCTGTTGTCTGGTTCGCAATCTGCGCTGGATTAACTGACCTGCAGCACGCGTTAGTGTTCCGCCTCTAAATTAAAAACTCGAATAAAATATTGTTATTAATTTGAATTATGTAATTCATTTTTACTAGACAGATTATCAAGTGAATCTTTTTGGTTTTTAAGATTTTACATGAGGATTTTACACATGTTTAAACCCAATTTGGTCGGAAATAAGTAAATAAAAGTCGTAAAATACTTTTATATAAATTATTACTATTATTAGAAATCACTCGGTTATAAATAAATCAATCGATTTATATAATATGACTGTCATAAATACTCCACTCTACTGACAGTTCCCACACTCTTCTTCAGGTTAAGTGTAAGAAAAGGCCATTTGGCCCTAGCTTTGCCCGAAAAAATAAACGATTTTTCATTTCATTTTATTTTCATTTATTACAATTCAATATGACAATTGATAAAAAATACATGGTAATTTGTTTAGTTAAGTAACCTTTAATTTTAACAACTATTAAACTATTTTTACTAAAAACCTACACTTTATTCCAAATATCTCTGTTCTTAATAATTTCGTGCAGTAACGTTTTATGCGTATCAATGATAAATAAGAAAATATGATAAGCACGACGTTAATTATACGTATAAAATTTAACTCTAACAAAGTCTCTGTCATGTTTATTACTTTTTATGATCAAACTAATAGCAATAACTTTCCATCCGTATATCAGAGTTATGATCTTACTGGGTTTAATATGAAACAGTACACATACAAAATTTCAGTGGTAGAATATACTTATGAGCTTAAAAAAATAAGACCCTATAATATAAATATAACGGTTTGTTACCAAGGACCTCTCCATCCATAAGGAGGTTTTCACCACAAATATGAAGGATATCCAATAATATAGCTGGAGATTTATTACCTTACACGAGCATTATTTGTAATGATAGATTATTAGGCTGCAGGCAGCTCCGTGTGTTGATATATAGGAACACCTCACATTCTGACAACATGATGTATATAACTGCAGTCTAGCGTCGAGCCTCCCTGCTATGAGGTGTTTGCTTTGTATTGTTATATCTTTCAAACATGTTTTACCAGTAGAGTACGGGGTTGGAATATACTGTAAGTATAAAATACTTGTTGCAGTTATGGGAGAGGACACGGTTTAAGAAAATTTGGTTCTTTTAATTTTATACGGTTTTATATAGCACATCTACCATAGCCATAATGTTCTACCACTGCCCCTAATCTATATAAAAAAGTAAATTTCATATTTTGTACCACAGCTATTTGTATAAACTGTTGGTTCAAATTAGATGTTTTCGTAAATGCAAAAAAAAATAGTGTTTCACCCTGTTGGTAAACCTTATAACTTTTAAATGCTAATTGATATCATATAAAGAACCAAATTGTGCAGTTGGAACAGCTGGCAAAATTCCTTTTAGATGTGGATACTCGTGAGGTTAACATGGGAAACTCTAGAGCCACTGGGGCGGAGCCCGAAAGGTTTTTTTGAGATAAGAATATGTCTATACGATAATCAGGAATGTGAGCTCCATCACAGGAACATCACACCAGATTTCAACTCTATCTGTTTAGTATTTTCGTTTTTACTTATCACAAACATCCATCCATCCGATTTCGCTCAATTATAATATTAGTAGAATATTATTTATTAAAAATATCAAATTTTATCTAAAGCCTGATTTCGTTTTTAGTAAGATGCAATAATAATAACCCCAAGAAATGGTAAGCATAACCCTATTAAGTTGTGAGGTTTCCATTTTTTTACTGACTTAACTCAACTAATTCGAATCAAAAACATTGTTTTTTTTCAAAAAGAAGCATTTATAATACAATACTAATCTTCAAATTAGAAATATGTCCCCGCACGAATCCTGTTTAAAGGGACGAGTTTCCATCAGTACTTCTACAATAGCTGTAGACCTTTATATCTTGGTAGTTGTTAGATTTACCATCGAGCAGATTTCTGGTTAAATGGAAGAAATCTGCATATATTTATAAATTTGATAAGAGAGAAAAACTTAAGTCTCCCAATTTAGCTATATTGGATTAGCTAAATAAAACGTTTTTAGATAATCAAAATCAGGAGAAAGAGTTTTAAAAGAGTTAATTATAAATTGTTAATTCAAATTTCAGGACTCTAAAACTATTATTGTGTCGTTATGTGTTTTTATTTCAAGCAAACGTCTAGATTATATGGATGGTGTATTTTGCTTTTCAAATTTATCCTTTCAACTTATTGAAACATATTTCCGTAGCTAAAATCCCCATGCCATACCATAAACGTAATTGTTGGACTATACTTTATGATACACTATACATTAGGATCATACTAGGTTGTTGTCGTTTTGCCTAATGGTTTTATAAGTTAAAAGTTAACATGTTATAAGTAAATACACCATCCATTATAAAAATTAGTTCTACTTCAAAAAAAGTCCTCTCTCGAAGTTTTTTATTCAGAGAAACATAAACATTTTCCAGCAACTTAGTAATGGAACGTTTGGAGGAATATAAATAAATCAAAGTTGATTTTTTAACACTTTACACATCAAAATGTCTTATCCAAACTATAATCAACCATCTTACAGTGCACTATGAGGACGATCCTCTTGCTGACTGAAGGAGGGACTCCGTTGGATGCGATACAGAGGTAGGCGCCCATGTGTAGTCTGTTGACTCTGGTTATGTTAAGGATTGGACCTTCGTACGTCATTGCTGGAACAACAAGTAAAAATATATATAAATTATCAATTACCCTAGTAAAGATCATGATCTGTTTTGATTGTTTTTTATTCGGTTTTACAGGAGAATATCATGTATTGAGAACCAACACGTTTTATTTTTTTTTAGTTAGTTTTAGTTAGTTACTATTTAGGTTGAACACCATATCTACGTATAAATATTATTATTTTTGGGATGGATTCACTCCTTTGTTCACTTGGAACCCTGTCATGACACTAGGTTAGTCCTAGGCCATTTTTACAGTTTAAATTAGTATCCTCTATTTAAAAGTAGACAAAATCATACACTTATGACTTGTCAAACAGATTTTTTAAATTAAGTTTATCAACAAAATGATATCTTTTATACGATTGTGAAGGGCTAGATAACAAGAAAGCGTAAAGAAGTTTCTTAAAAATTTATCTGGATCTAACCGCTTTAATTTTGCTTTTAAATTGAAGAGGTTATCTATTTATGTAAACTTACAAATTTATAGTAGAATTATGTTCTTAACTGATGACATGTTAAGAGAAAATACCGCCTCAGGTTAATCGGTGTAAAAGGGCGTTAGGAGATGTATAAATTATAATTATTTTTAATAATGTACAATGGGATTATTTGTTTCTATCAAATAACATCGCCATAAATGACCAAATGACCAATAAAATAATATCGACATTGGTAACTTTTTACGATTATGTAATTTTATTATACTAAACTCTTGAAACCCTAGTCTTGTAACTATCTATCTTGTAACTATCATGGACCTGGTGTTAGAAATCGTCATTCATTGAGAGCCAAAAGACAAATGGTATCTGCATGTGGTACAGATCTTGCTTGGCAACAAACTAGCAACCTTACGATTAAAAGGCAAGCACCATAACCATTAGCGGAACTAATAAATCGGTGTATTCATACGAAATTTACGACTAAAATTAAACATAAATATCACAAGTATTGGGTGGCAATTAAAACTGAAAAAATGCTGGTAACACTAAATATTAAGCTAAATGTAATCAAACTTCTATGAATTGTTAATTTGCATTGCATCTTAGTACCGTGTTGGTAGGGCTTACTACCGTGGCATGACCTTTAACGCATCAACGCACGCTTTATATAGCCTTAGCCCAGATTATCGACTTCCTCGGGTGTATTGGACCTTCCTGACCAAAATATTACACCATAAATGCCTTGAACACTGAATAAACAGTCAATATTGAATTAAATATTATTTTCCAATTTATATATGCAAGTAATAATAGTACCTTGTGTACTGAAAAAAAGATTGAAATCGATCGTTTTAATTATTAAAACAAGAAAAGTATTTAGTAACAGTATTTAATCAAGTATTTAGTAAAATACTGAATATATAGGATATATTCAGCTAAAATCTTGTAATCAAAGGGTTAGTGGAATGCAATGTGAATTTCAATGTTGTTTCCCTAAAGTAGAACAACTTGTAAACAGCCCTAATGACATTCAGTGAATACACCCCACCCATTAACACTTGTCTGAGAAACCCCCTCCATCGTATCGTTATCTCTCTCTCACCCCTCTTACACTCTATCTCTATACCATTCGACAAAACGTAATCCTTATCCCCCTCAAATAATAATTTTAATTTTGGGTTTTACGATACCGACAAGCTTATGTATAGCAAATACAATTGTATTTAATTGTATATATAGAAGTATATTTTTCTAATTTGCTTAGTAACGTTTATGTTCAAGCATTAGAAGACACTTAACCTAGTACTGTGAAATATATTCTAAAAATATTATATTTTATACGACAAGAAAAATTATTAACCATTTTTTGATTTGACAGCTTCTTAAACAGCATATTAAATGATGTTAATATACAAATAATATTTGTAAATAAGTATAATCAAATTTTCCTATTGTGTCTGATGATGATTGGAGTGTACAATTATCATAGATCACCAAATAACCTACCATTGTTCACATGTACTTACCATCTTGTTTAAAAAGTATACGTCAGAAAAATATTTTTCAAGTGTAAAACTTATGTTTGATTACTTTTCGCATATTTTTACAGATAAATTTGCCAGAGTTATGATTCAGACTGTATTAAAATCCATGAAAAGTTTGTTACAATTTACTATCCAATCGACCACTATTAACTAAAATGATTCTCTGTAAACATAAATTAATATATATTTATATATATATATATATATATATATTACATTTTCTCTTCAAAATATAACTGCTCAACAACACATACACACGTACTTCTTAGAACCCCTTTACGATAGATATATTTTAAAAGTAGTTGAAGCAATATTGTCTATTTTATATGAGTATCATGATAAGGGGGGAAGAAAAGCATTTGCTGATCTTTCCGAATACAGTTTGTAATTAAAAAATAAAAAATTAAAAAATACTAATCTTTTCAAAGTACAACTGCACAATTATACATACACACTTGAGCCATTTCAACCCCTCCTTTCCAATTAAGATGTTTTAAAAGTACTTCAAGTAAAAGTTTGTCGATGCTTGGAGTAGCATGCAAAGGGGAGTCAGTAGGTTGTTGCTAATTATCCCTCAACGAATCACTCTTTGGTGTACAACCAAAACACGACTTGTATTGTAAATAATTGATCTACTGCATTTACTATCCCATTAAAAATAATATAACTAGCAATATTACCCTAGACTCTTTAGGTAAGTTAATTGTAATAACCTTTTTGAATTTACAGTGATTATAATCCATTGTAATAATTGTTTGGAGGAGTTTAATCAAATCTGAGTTAATAGAGCAGTGTGTTTGCTAATTAAATCTCAATATTTGTTTAATTTGAAACGTTTTGGATATTAAAGCATTTTCTAGTTAAAATCTATAATAATGAGATAATGGGTTGGGAGATTAAAAATCGATGCTATAAATAGTGTGATACAAGTCGTGATTTAAAAACCCCGGGTGTTTATAAATAAATATCGAGGGTTTAACTCTTTATAACTTGTATACTAAATTTACCACTATAAATAACACATCAAATGAGAAAGCAACTCAAAGAGTTGGAGTTTGAGGCCTTCCAAAAATATTATTTAACAAATTCAATCCAGTAGAACTGTAGATTTAACTATATAAAGTAAAAAAAATCTCCAACTTGTTTCACTATTCGGAGGTTACTTAAGTTTTTTACTAATAACTTATGGTAAGTAAAGGGAATATTCCAAAAGAGAATAAAATTGACTACAATTTACCATTAAGCAATTCTTGAAAATACCCAATAAAGGCATAAAGAAATTTCCAAAAACAAATTGAAAATACCTATTTAAATGTAAACAACAGACATAGTAAACATAAAAACGAAGATATTTTTTTTTATCAATTTTTGACTGCATTTATTTAATGATATTAAGAAATGCATAATAATAAATTGTAGGGAATGGCTGCCTTCCTGGAAATGGACGCTTTTTAACAATAAATATATTGGATCATTTTGATATTTTAATGCGCATCAATCATTTTACGTACACTTACTAAATATAATAGCCATTTTACAAGAATATGAATGAATATAAGATAATTTAACTGAAAACAATTGGAAAAATTGGGAATTTCAGTACACTTAATTGGAAATATTACTAAAAAATAACATTTTCCTGTGTAGAGAATAATTTTCTATAACGTTGAATAAGGATGGCAAGTCAGTTCAAAGTTTAATAAAATCATGTATTTTCTACCTTTTTATCCTCATTTACTAAATAATAGTGAGTGAAAATTTAAATATACAAATTTTTAACTTAGTTCCCAACTAATCTTACCTTTCAAATAATTTATTACTGACGCTACATAGTGACGTATTATTTCTAAAATATGAACCTAAATCCCAACAACACAATATTTTAGTGCAGTAAAACCTCCAGTTTTGCCAAAAGCCTAAGAAAGTTATCAAACTTCCATTTTTGCAATCAGTGTAGCAGATAAACAGCAGAGGGGAGAGATTGGCTGGGTTTACTGCTAATTAGGGTGGTATCATCCCCAGTGGCGTGTAAGGAACCAACATAAGCCTCTCAGCTTACCATCTAATTGCATACCTCAACCTAACTTAGAGCATCACAACGTATCAATTTAGTGGCTTCATACTTACAGCGCCACTCGAGCAAATGACCGGTATAATGAGTTTGCGACACTGGTAAATGGTTCGTGGAACTTTGAAGCTTATTTGCTTGGAGATTACAAACTTAAAGATGTGTGTTCAGGGATTGTATATTAGAAAGAATTAATTAAGTTACATGCTCGTTATAAAATAACTTTTAATTTGTAAACAAGGTTTTTTTTATGTAAAATAAAATAAATGACATTCATAGGAATAAGGGTGAACAATGTAAGTATTTTTATAAAATAAATTATACCCAACTACACAAGGTGAGAAATTACCAAAACAGTTAAATATAAAACAAAAATAAAAAAAGGCTTTGAAACTTCGTACAAATTTACTGGACATTAAAATTTTTTTTTAAATATTATTCATATTATTGATTTAATTTTTCTCTTGATTGTAAATTTGCATCATTGCATTTAACTAGTTAAGGCCTTTAATTTGATATATCAACCCATGCTTTTGTTTTTACATTTTCTTCTGACTCCCAGCGGGTCGTCCTCTTAAGGGTAATGTGTCACTTAATAATGCCTTACAATGATTTGAATACCCAGTACCTTTGTTCTAACCCTTGTAGCTCTACTGTATATTTATAATAGTTTTTTTGAAATATTTAACTGACCAAGCACTCATTACACCCTGTTTATTTGTAGATTGCGAATATGATCTCCAAAGGGAACCCCACCTACCAAAGTTATTTAAATAGGAAATTGTTATTTGTTGTCAACTAGGTCTGTAAATAGTTGTGTCCAATCGAAATTGGTTACCAGCCATCACCTTTTTATATAAATATACCTAGACGTAGAATACAAATACTTTAAATTATCATTACAAAAAAAATTACAATAATGTGAAAAATAGTAGTTTAATTAAATTAAAATATATTTTAACTCTATTTATGTTTCAGTGTGCATGTCAATCCTTAACAATCTTCTCAACTTATACGATTTGTTGGAAACATATCAAAAACTGGGGCTAATATATTTTATTAATTGTTTGTAGTTGTTTTTTTTTGCAAATATTTTACCTTTGCCGGTTTATCTTACCTTGAGATCCATCATTCAGCACAATGGGTTCCCCAGCCTCTCTTCTCCAGACGATGGATGGGTTTGGAGACCCTGATGCGGCGCAAGTGAGAGCAACACTACTTCCTTCCCTGACTACCATGTCTGTACTGGTGGGATGGTCCAGGATATCTGGCGGAACTATTGGAAGATTGAGGAATTAAAAAATCATCTACTACCATATTTGTTTGGGAGCGAGCTTGTCTAGTGTTTTAGCAAGGGCTTTAGAGCCCAAGGTTCTGGGTTCAAATTCCGCCAATCACAAATGGATTTTTTCCTATATCACGATGCCGCAACACTCGAACCTAGTGTCGTAGGATACAATTAGGTGTAGAGTATAATAGTCAAAACAAGATTAAGAGTCTTTAAAAGTTAGCCATGTATTTTTATGAATAATTGATACATATTTATCAAAGGCATATTATATAGACAAAATTGAATAAAAAAAAAATAGAGTTGAAATAATGAAGCTATTAACAGCAAGGACCCTTCCAAAAGATACACATTGTGTAAAGACCTTTTCACTGAGAAAATAAAATAAAAAATCCTCTGATTCACCAAAACGGTTTCTTAAACATAGTGTTTACAAGGCTTCGACAAGTAAAGTAACGATGTTTTAAATTGGAAAAGTTTGAATTACTGATCGTGATGTAAAATCGACCGGTGTTTTGCTCTTTGAGAAGTTGGTCTTTCCTGTCATTAATCGAGTCCGAGGTCAACACCAAACCTTGTTACTTCCAAGTCTTCTTCTTGTCAATCATAGTAAATAATGTAAACGTTAATTTATTAGTACATTTATAAACATAATACGAATTAAATTATTCAGTATTTATGAGAGAATGATTTTATTTTCATGGAAGATGCATATTGAGTTGTCTTTTTATATAATATTATCCACGATGGCAATTTAAAGAGATGCAATGTTTCAAATACTAGTTGACGCATATTTGTTTTCTTTATCAAACTGACGTTTAAACTCATAAACCAGTTAAAATACAACTCGGGAAATTTATAATCTCACAGTACAATAGATATTTAAATTACAATCACTATAGTGCTTGAAAAATCATTTTGAGATGGTAAACAACTGTTCAGTGGTTGTTTAACATTAACGAAATTAACATTGCTCTTAACGCTCTTATGGTTCTTAGATCTCAACCATTTCTTTATTGTTAACTTATATTTAATCATTATTATAATCTCTACCATCTTGTTAATTTGGTTAATCTCGTTTAGTAAAAAACGTTATTAAATGGAGAAACCATTGGGATGAATAACAGATTAATAAATGGTGGGAAATCCAAGATGGCCGTTAGCTTCCTTAGACTCCCTTCAAAAACATTTCAAAGCTACAAAGAAATTTCTAATCCCACCGTGTCTTAGATAATATATACACTTAAGTGCAAAATTATCCAAGATTGCCGGTAGCCTCTAACGACTCTTAATATAAAAAAAAAACTTTGGTGACTGGATGGATTAGATCCCGGAACCTTGAGTTCCGAAGTCATTTGCTCCACCATAAGACTAGATCACTTTCTGTGTTGACACATGTTGAGATATAATAAAAGTAAAATTTCCTCAGTTAACATAGGCTAGTAAATCATTCGAGCAAATGTAGATAGTAGATAATATTCTATGCAAATTATGGTTCCGTAAGAGGAAATTGAAAACGTGGTATCTTATAAATTTATTAGCCAATGTTAAAATAACCAATTAACTTATCATGCAATCAATAACAAATTGTGTGTTGTATAGAAGCGCTCAAAACGGCAATTTAATGTTCTCAACAAGTAACAACATCAACACAAAAAATGTGTCAATATTTACTATATTAGACCTTAGACCTTAGTTACTCAATAGTCAATGGTTAGCCTAAGGGTGACTTTTTATAGTTTAGTAAATTATATAAGTATTGAATAGTGTAGACACAAGTATCTTGTGAGTATAATTGATTGTCATTATATTTTTTTCAAAAATTTGAACTAGAATACTAGTTAGAAACAAAGACGGCTACATTCAAAGCCCCTAAGGATGGTATGTAGCTATGTAGAACCCAGTCCCAGAAGCTATCTGATATTATTGCAATGTAATCTATATTTATGTTTTTCTCTACAACCCTGTGGGGAAATACAGGTAATACAGGTTGTTGAATATGATTTCAAATGTTATTTGACTGTGTATTACAGAAAATAAGCTCAATTCGATCTTCATATTACATGTGCACATTGGTTACCAAACAAGACCGTGGAAAAGATTACTTAATGTTGTTTCTGGTTATTTGAATTATATTTTAAAAATTATTTTAAATTAAAATAAAACTAGAGGTCGTCCAGTGATTGAAAACTCGATCAAATATATCTATTGTGCAAACTTCTCTATTTTCATGCTGAATGTAAAACATGTGATTGTAATTTCTTCCTTTGTTTTGATTTTATGTTTATCGTTCTTATTTTGTCACCAGCATGGCAATCCATAAGGGCTGTGTTAATTGTTTTTAATTTTATATAAATTTTTTGTGCCTATTTTTGAACCTATTTTAATTTTTAAAGGGATTATGCACATCTACATGCAAACACCATTCTAATAGTAAGCGTATAATATAATTCTAGCACCATTCTATGCACCATTCTAATAGGAGGCTGTGGCGATGGCGAAGGAGTCGGCTGTGTTAGTTTGTCCCGCGTGTAAAAATATTTGCTTAGACGACGAAAAGTCTCTTCTGTGTGATGGATTGTGCTATTCTTGGCATCATGCCAAATGCGTTAACGTAACTGTAAAAAAGTTTAACGAAATTCGCAAGGTGGAGGATGCAGTGAAGTGGTTCTGCCCGGATTGTGACGGAAAGCTCAAGATCTGCATTGACCAAATGAAAACTACCGAATCAGCATGCACAAGTGAGTTGTTGAGAGATATGGAAACTAAAGTATCAGCTTTTCTTAAAATCGGACAAAGTCTCGAAAAGAAGTTAAATATCTTAATTAACCATAGCGTTAAAACTAAGGTTGCCATAAACAAAGTTTTAGAATCAAATAAATTGTCTTGTAACCTAGAATTAAATGAGACTGCAAACATAGACATGTCGAATGACACTTTTGAAGACGAAGGTGACGCCCCATTGGCGGCAACCAATGACAATGTCCCACTCCAGACTACATGGGTCAAAAAAAAATAGAAATGAAATGAAGAAGGCTGTGAGTGAAACTCCGAGAAATGAAACCAGACTGGAACCAACGACCCCTGTACAAGAGGAACGGACTAAAACGGAATCTAGTGAAAATGGCGATGACGATGCAGATTTGGAAGTTACTGGCGTTCACAACTTAACACGGAAAATAGACGAAGTGAAGACATCCGAAGCAGAAATTATCAAACATAAAGAAATACCGCTCTACTCTGAAATTGTACAAAATAAACCCAAACCTAAAGACAGTGTAATAATCGGCACAAGTGGTGTATCTACTAGCTTGAAACCTGCGAACAAGCGTTCTCACTTCTTCGTATCCAGACTATCACCAAGTACATCGGACGAAGAGATTTCTCAGCATCTGGCAGGTCAGGGAATATCAGACATCGAGTGCAGAGAACTTAAAACAAAATTCAAGACATATAAATCCTACAAGGTGGGAGTTCCTGTTGACTTTGAAGGGAAAATTCTTAACCCTAGCCTGTGGCCCAAAGGAGTACTTGTAAGAGCCTACGTCCCATATAAAAATAGGCGTGAGAGTGTCAATGGTTCTTTTTTAGGGAGAACCTTCTACAGGACAGTAACAACGTAAATTGTGACCAACAAAACTTAGGATTAAGTGCAAAAACTGTGGGTGATGATCTAAACTGTTGTGGTACTTGGCCTAGGCCTAGCGTTCCGTCACTTGTAAATACTGTAAATAGGACTAATATAATTATTGCATCACTGAATGTCCAGTGCCTTAGAACCAAGCTGGACTTGGTCTCACTCTTTGTAGAGGAGAAAAAGTGTGACATTTTGTGCATTTCAGAGCACTGGCTTAATAGCTTGGAAATTGACTGCTTCATGGACTTGTGTGGTCTGCAACAAGCAGACATTTATTGCCGCAAGGAACACAAAAATGGTGGTGTGGCAATTTACACAGCAGCAAAATTTAATTGTAAACCAATAGATGTGACAAATTTTACTATTGAGCTGGTTCTAGAACTTAGTGCAGTGGAGATAACCAACCTATCCAGACCTACTACTATAGTGTCAGTTTACAGATCCCCAGATGGAGCATTTGACCTTTTCCTACACCAGCTAGACCTATGCCTTAACTACTTGTGTAAGCCTACTTATGAACTGATCATCTGTGGGGATTTTAATGTCCACCTCGAGCAGCCGTCAAAAGAAGAAGCAGCTTTCATCAATTTGCCGAGAAGTTACGACCTCCACGTATCAACAAGAACTCCAACCAGAGGCTCCGCCTGCCTGGATGTCGTAGCCACAAACATCAATTCTTGGGACTGTGACTCAAAGGTTGTCAAATCCCTGGTGGCGGACCATGATGGGGCTGTGCTATTAACGGTAAAAACTGAACAGGTAAGAAATACTCCCTCTTGGCATGGTAAATACTTAGTAAATAAGAGACCTGTAAATAAGGAATGCTTGCCGCTGCTTTACAGTAAACTGGAAGTTGTAAATTGGGACCCGATTAGTAGCATTGTAGAGCCTGAATTTGCTTTTTACAGTTTCTCCAAACTTTTCCAAGATGCTTTTGATGATGTTTTTCCAGTAAAAATATCAAAACCGAAACAAAATAGTAATTCTGTTAGTAGGCCTAATAACTCCAAACCCAAGACAAATGCATGGTACACTCCGGAATTAGCCAAAATCCGTCAACTTATGATCTTAGTACATGATCGCTTTAAAAGTTCTCCTGATGAAGATCAAAAAACTCGTCTCTTCCATCTTTACTGTAACATTAAGAAGGACTACAGTTCTAAAGTTAAAAGAGCAAGGAAAGATTATAACGCTAGCTTCATCATGAGGTCCTCAAACACCTGTAAGGCTGCTTGGGGAATTGTAAATGAGCATAGGAAATCTAACGCCATCCCCCCCATTGTGGCTTCGCCGGATGATTTTAACGACTATTTTGCAAAAGTAGCTGATGACATAATAAAAAGTATGCCTCTGTTACAGCACATGGACCCACTGGACACTATAGCAGACATCTCACACATACACAACCTTACACACTGGAAAGAGGTGAGTGACAGTCAGATTCTTAGCATTGTTAGGGGTTTTAAGGATTCAAATAGCCAAGATGTAAACGGTGTCTCTTGCTCCATCTTAAAGAGCACAATTGAGTTTATACTAAAGCCTCTGACTCGGCTGGTAAATCTTTGTCTTAAGTATGGGGTTTTTCCTGATTCCCTAAAGGTAGCAAAAACTATACCTATATTTAAGAAGGGAGACCCATCACTGTTATCAAACTTTCGTCCTATTTCTATACTCCCAGTCTTCTCTAAGGTGCTGGAGACGGTCATGAAAAGACAACTCATGGCCTATCTTGAGACAAACAACATTCTCTCGAGTGCACAGCATGGATTTAGAGGGGGTAGATCTACAACCACCGCACTGTTGAGTCTTGTTGAGACAATTACTGACGCCTTTGAACATAATGAGTCAATCCTCCTCAGACTTTGCGATCTGAGCAAGGCGTTTGATGTGGTGTCCCATAAGCTACTGATAGGCAAACTAGCAAAGTATGGTGTGGGCGGAACTGTGCTGAAGTCCCTGTCCTGTTGTTTGGCAAACCGCAGGCAAGTAGTTGTAATAAATGGGGCCTTCTCCGGCGTTAGGAGTATCTCACATGGAGTGCCACAGGGTTCGGTGCTCGGCCCTCTCCTTTTTAGTGTAGCGGTGAACGATTTGAGGCTAAATGGCTCCACCCTCCTATTCGCTGACGACACCACTCTGATATCTCGAGGAAGTGACATTGAGCAACTGCATATTGAAGCTGACCATCTTTTGGAGCTGGCCAAGAATTGGTTTACAGCAAACCGCCTGAAATTAAATGCAGCTAAGACTCAGTCCTTGCTATGCACACTGAAGCCACTAACCGAAAGAGATGAGGCGGTTAAACTGCTAGGCTTCTGGTTGGATCCCAAACTAAGCTGGAGCTCACATATTGATGGGGTATGCGCACGGCTATCTAGGGTTATTTGCCTCCTAAGGAAACTTCGTAACGTCATTCCGAAGCAATTCTTGATAACTGTGTACCATGCTCTGTTTCATAGCCATCTTATGTACGGCTTGGTACTTTGGGGTCATTCACCAGCAGCACAGGACATATTATTGCTCCAGAAAAAAGCTGTAAGAATCATAATGTCAGCCGACTACAACGAACATTGTAGGCCCCTTTTTAAAGATCTGGGCATTCTTACAGTCTTCAGTCAATATGTATTGAACATCCTAATACTCCTGAAAGAGAATGTCCATCTGTTTGACCGAAGAGAAGTTCACCACCGCTATGACACCCGGCAAGCACTACACCTTGACATGCCGCGTTGTCGTCTCACCCGCACCCTCAAGAGCTATCCCCGCTATGCCATACGGCTTTTTAATACCTTGCCGGATAAGGTGCGGGATATGGAAATCACCTCCTTCAAAGCTGCCGTCAGAAATAGCTTGGTGGATAGGCCACTGTACTCACTGGAGGAGCTGAGTAAAGAACCCCTCAAAGTCACATAAAAGCCTTCATTACAAATGGGGAACACGTTTTTATTTACCGCCACAGCCTGTTTAAGTTGTTTTGTTTATATGTATGTAAATAGTAGTGTTTATTTTTAAATGTATATAATAACGCAGTCTATCCGACATTGTCGGTCAACGACGCAGCACACAAGTATCAAGTAAGTAAGTATCAAGTAAGTATATTTTCCGTGCAATTCTTACGAGCTGAGAAAATGGTTTTAAAGAAACATGCTTGCCTAATAATATAAAGATTAAATGTGTCATAATAAGATACTTTTATACTATATTGCGATTCTGTATTGGATATACTATACGGGGTATATTATGTATAGAAATAACTATGAGGCCATAAATGTATAAAAAAATCAAATAACTCATAACGTAAAAATTTAACATTGCCCAAATCTCATTGTAAATAAAAACATTTTTAATATAAAAGTCTATACTCAAGAAGTTATGTTATTTTTTCAATTTTTTATTATCAAGTTATTATTAAATTAATAATTTGCCGTGATTGTTATGCAGTTTACTTTTCACAACAGTATAAAAAAATTAAACACTATACACCTTGATAATTAACTAGGACTAATAAGTTTTAAACATATAAATGTAAAAAAGTCTATAAATGGTTTAAACACTTAAAATAAATTTGAGATAAATGGTGAATTACCATGAATCAATGTATTAACAGAATTATTGCCTCATTGTATTCCACTTAGCACGCCATGAGGGCCGGGGCAGTGAAGTGGCCTACACTAATGAATGGTTGGGGATCATGAGCCATGATTAAGAGATACTTGGAAAGATGAGTCTACCCTCAAAATATCTGCTTCACTGCCGTTCCGAGTGCTTTACTTGTTCAACGAGGCTAATTTAGCCATTCAAATCTATCGTATTCTAGATTAATTGGTGTATACTGTCGGTTAAAGAGCTTAGCCAATAAAATGTCTTCAGGAGGGTCATTGATTTAGGTAACTTTTTAATTGAGGAAGATTGCATTGAAATCGTTAGTAGTAAATTCCAATTTATAATTTTATAAAAGATTTGTATGATTAAATATTTAGAATGTTGTACATGTCTCACGAAATTGATTAAAACAATTATACTCAAATTTAAAGTTTACTAATACAATGTTTTGTTAAATAAAATTGCTGTGTATTTAATATTACAACAATATTACAGTTGTTTATAATAAAACATCAAATACACGCTTGAATCTTTATGAAATCTATCATAGATGATCAATATCAAAATATATACCAAAACTTTACATAATTTATAGATTTATTTCCTTTTTAAAATTCATAAATGTTTGTCAGTACTTAGGCTAAGCGCAACAGAGAAGGTAATGAGGTACGTTTTTTATTGACATGTTGATAGCTTAGTATGAAATAAACAAAACTGATGCTTTTTATTAAATATATCCATAAAAAAGCAAACTACAACAGGTTATTTATTTTTCAATAGTATAAAATGGGAACTTTTAATTTAAAGTTTTTGAAATCTATCCGTAACCGTTTAGCCATACAACAACGCCTCATCTACTAAATTTGTTAATGTTTTTAGTTCCAGAAATTTATTTGGAAATATTGTTTTTAGAGTAAAAATGGGAAAAAACAATGTTTACCTTATAAATCCCCGTTCCCTAACCCAATCAAGCCGGTTCGCGATAACTGCGAATATCAGGCTGGGTTCGAATAAACGTAGTACCACCATGGCCTCCTTAGTTAGCCGTGGTACCACGTAGTCCACGTTTGCACCAAGCGTAGTTAAAGTCGGATCATTTTCGCTCGATTCATCAAGCTAACTAACACATATAAATAAAAAGCGTGGGACCAGAGGTACCGGGTAAAAATCCCACCATATCACCACTGGGTTTTTCTAAGTTATTATTCTAAAACCTCTAAACCTAGCCTGAAGTAATGTAAATACAATCGTAGCTAAGTAAATATACAACGAAAAAATGTTATCAGTAGTTATAGTTATTTAAAACAATGAGTAAAGGTTGTCCCGTACGTAAACAGCCAAACTCCGGGAAATGGTACTTTGGGTCAAAATAAAGAGAAAATCATTAATATATTATTTTTTTCAAAATCGTTTCGTAAACCAGATATCCACCATTTAGTTTTTTAACATAAACATTTTTATCTCGGGATTTTTTTAACCGATTATTATGAATCTTTGTTAGTAAAAAAACCCGGGTTGAAACAAAACATTGTAATCTAATTAAAATGTTAAAAATGGCAGCCTATACAGATTATTTAAATGCAATTGCAAATAATTGCTTATTCTTGATATTCTCTTTATTTTGACCCATAGAACCATTTCCAGGATTTTGGCTGTTTAATTACGAGACACGACACCTGTATAAATATATGCATTAGAAGAGAAACTGAAGATATAGAAATTAACTTACATTCACTTTTACCTTCTTGGTAAACTTTCCTTAAGATTTTGATGACCTTTTTGACCTCCTCGTCCATGTGGGCCACTCAGGCCTGTACATGAAACTTATCCAGCAAAGCAAGAGATGAGCCGTTACAAAACAATGGTACCAGGATCTGAACCCACGACATTGCTACCTCTGGTCCGAAGGCTATTGCGCTACTGACTGACCAGCCGACTTACCTAAGCCTGCCTTATTTATAAAAACAATATTCACATTTTTGCTCAAATAATAAACCACACTCTACAAACTGAAATAAGTACATAGTTAGTTACCGACAACATTGAGGAAGCCTGCTTGGCTCTTCATTGGGTCCGTGTTGATCTGGCACATGTACCATCCTCTGTCTGACTCCTGTACGTCGCGGATGTGAAGGTTCCATGTCCGGGGGTCACTGTGAGTCACTCCTATCCTCCGGTTCTTGGTGATCACGTGGCTGTGGATAGTGAGGATGGTTTGTGTTTCTATCCTCAACCACGCAACCTTAAACACAGCATTTGTAATGTAATGTGTGAAACGTGATGCAATGGAAGACTTGTAAAAAGCGTTGCATAGTGTTCTCCGTAATAGTTGAATTAATCAGTAGCGGTCCTCAGAGGCGGGAGCAGAACATAGGACTAAAAAAATGTATTTACTTTTTGTCTACAGCTCAATGTCAACAAGTTGTCGGACATTACCATGAAAAAAGAGAATAGTGTCATCTACGTATAGGTAGGTGGTACTGCAAAGTTTTTTTGTCTCTGTTTGTTGTGATTTGATTGTATGAATTTATTTTCAATATAATTCAAGTAAATGTCGGCAAGTATGCAAGATAGGTGTTCCCTCAAACTTAAAATAATTTTGCTGTAGTACTTCTTCTAAAAGAGCTAAAAATTCACTGATTGCCACTGGCAACATATTTGAGTTACTTCAGGTGAGTTTGGACCAATTCCAAAGTTTTCTCAACCGGCACATTAGCGTACAAATTAACGATGTCAAATGACACCAGTAAATCATGCTTTCTTTCGTTTAAATTCTTGGTTTAGTCAATAAACTCATATGAGTTTTTTAAGCAAAAATTATTCGGGAATTGGATCTGATTTTTTAAAATTTGGTCGAGCTTCTTAACGAGTCTGTAAGTTGGTGCAGAGGTGAGGTCCACCAACGGACTTATTGGTAAGCATTCTTTGTGCACTTAAGGCGATCCTCGCAACACTGGTGTAGTGGGGTTGGTAACCATCAGGCGCTTTATTTCCTCAGAGCTAAAAAGTATCTTACTATTATTTACGAGTTTCCTAATTTTCTTTTGGTACACTTTTGAAGGAACTTTTTTCATTTCAACAATGTGATTGTTTGTGATAAACTCCATCACCTTATTTATATAGTAATTTTTGTACAATATTACACTAGTATTACCTTTGTCTGATTTACATATTATTGCCTTATGAAAAGTTAACTTTTTCCTTTATGCTACTCAAAGCTAATGCATCTTTCTTGTAGATGTTATTTAAATTATATGTTTTTATTGCCATTAAGAAGTTTTCTATTGAGGTTATTTGTAATCAATACTCGTGCTAAATTGCATCCATTTTCGTTCGGGATCGTTTAAATAGCACATTCGGTATTAATAAACTCGTTAAATTTAGCTTTTTGGCCTTGTCTTGAGAGATTATACTTTAAGCCTTTCTCTATAACTTTAATCTCATTTTCGTCAAATTTGATGTTGGTATTATTTATCACCCTTGGGTAAAATTCAAAGTCAAACAAAATAATTGATTATTTCAATTTTTGATCATTAACTAAATTCTGGATTTTCCTATTTTGGGTTGACTTTTTTCGCCTAATAATTCTTTAATTCTGCTAATAATACCTAGCAATACTGCTTCAGCCGAAGACGTCTGATGATGGCATGTTAATGCCGAAACGGCCGTAACGGGAGTTACAACTCATTGAGCTGTAGACGAAAGGTAAAAAATTTTTTTTTTGTTACATCACAGCTCAGGGGCTAAAAATATGGATTTTAGAACATAGGATTTTGTTCCTGAGGTCCCGCGTTTAAATCTCGTCATTCACCGATGGTTTTTTTAACAATCAAACCGTAACCCCAGAGGTGTAGTCTAAAGTAATGTGTAAAATGATAATAGTCAAAAACCCTAGTCTTTGAATATGGAATGAAAAATTGTATAACAAACTTTACTTGTTGGGTTATGCAATTGAAAAATAGTAAAATTATTTAGACAAATACTTTCTTTTTAGTGAATAAACTCCCATTGGGTTTCTGTGGCCTTTCTTTGAATCGCATAATTCCTGCTCTATTCTGGAACTATTTAATGCACCAGAATCACTTTGAGCTTACCTACAGAATCATGGCTCTTACGTAAAATAAACAGGATACGCAGGATTTGAACCAGAGAGCTCAAGTCCCGAGACCTAAGTCCCGTGATGTACCACCTAGACAAGTTAACCCTACTAACTGTTACTGTTAATAGAGTAATATAATTATTACTGTATAAAATACTATAATAGAACCATGAAATACTTTTACAGTGTCTCCCAGACTTTAAAGTGTATAACTGTACATTTAGCATTTACGCACATGACTTTTACGCATGACCCACGCTTATAAGCATTGTCAGAATAATCATTCAATTAATTATTTGCTGCGTAGATAATACTCGTCGTTAGTTTTCTTCATATTGACTATAAAGCATATGTAGATCTCCCAAAAATAGTTTTGGTGTCACAATTACCTGTTTTTCTGTCGATTTAAGTTTTTTTTTTTGCACGATGAATATTTTAGTAAATCTTCCGTATACTAGTTTGCCAAATTGTAAGGTTATATCCATTTAAAATATATGCATTAGTTTTAGTTTGTGTAGGCCTAAATGGGTTTTATTCCACTTTTACTAGTATTATATAAATTTAATGAAAAAAACCTGTATATCAAAACATCTAAAACACATGAGATCAAAATTTAAATGCATTTTTATATTTGAGAGGTATTCATAAGATAATTTTATAAAATCATTTACTTGATTTTTAGAGTCAAATTAGAAAATTTTTGCAAATAAATATGGGATGGATAGTCAAAATAAACAAAATATGCAATAATGATAGATCTACATTAACAATACCTACTGATCACAAATTGTGTCCAATGTCACAATAATATTAACTAGGTTTAAGCATTATTGGCTTCGTGGAAAATGGATAATGAATCGGTTTATAATTAGGTAATTTCATTTAACGTCCATAAAGCGTTACTTAATAATGGGAGTAAATTAATCTTTATGGATTCCTCGTTCATTGAGCCCCTTCCACATTTCCCGTTTCCAATCCAAATCCAATAAACTATTTTTCTCTTAAAAATTAACTGTTGATTACGTTGCACAACTGTTTTAAATTTTCCATTCTTATAAATATATGTGTATATATTTCAAACCTCAATGAGTTTTAAATAGGCAATTTTCAACCATTACGTATATAATGTTAAATTTATACTCCATATCAAAACTATAATTTCACTGATAAACATTAAAATATCAATATTACGTCAATTTAAAATGTTAATACTTGGAAGGGAATTGGTGTACTATAAACCATCTGTAACGTTTACTTTAATATCAAATAATCACCTATATTAATTACCTATATTAAAATTGATTAGTTAGTAGACATAGCTTTATCTAATATTCCATGGAGAACGATATGATAACATATTATGAATATATGATGTACATATATTATTTTACATAGAGCTTACCTTATATGAACCTAGGTTATCGACTGTGCAAACAAGATATGCTTCTCTCCCAACAGGAATCGTAATGTTGTTTATAGGAGCCCCGAACATTGGCAGATCTGTAACAACATTCTACATATACTGGAATATTTTGCTCACTCGGTAAACTATCCATGTTTTTAATTGATTATATGTTTTCCAAGAAGAACCTAATAGAAGGTTTTATGCTTATTCTAGCATTAAAAACTAAATGTATAAGTCTAGTTATAATAATTTATACTAATCATTTGGAACGACGTGTTTGCACTTCGTGCAATGCACGTGTAGTATGTGGGCCGCTTAGTTAGTTATCTATTAAAAAATACTTACTGTATGTTGCTTAAGACCTGATTGTTGTTACTTAAGTCTGCAATATAAAATAATGTACGTTAAGAATATTTGTTTGCAATACAAAAATAACAGATTCTAACATAAGAATTATATGGGGGAATGAACAAATAATACTGATTTGTGATAGTGATTACCTAATAATTGGGACGTCATCAGTAGTATTTTTTTTCATTCCTTTGAACCTGATCAAGTAGTGGAAGGGTTGGTAGCTTGAAATACTGTTTATGAAGTATAAGATAAGTATACGATTTTGGACTCTATAGACTCTATGAAATAAATAAACTAATAGTCCCTAATTGGTAGTTGAGTTGAAATACCATTCTTGTTTTTAAATGCAATGTTAAAATCATCATGACCTACTTTATCTGATTAGGATATATTATTTTGCTTTAAGCATATATCTAAAATAATCCATTTCCAATTTTACCATGTGGGAACCCTCAGTAGATAATAATACTGAAATGGGTAAGGTAACACTAAATGCTAAATGCAAGCAAATGTTGTAATTAATAGCTTTAGAAGGCTTAACGTCTGACTTAGTGGCAGAATGCAAATATCATTTCCAGATTCCTAATGCTTAGATACGTTCCATTGAAATATAACCTGAAATTCTCATGTACCTCCAAAACATTTTTAAAATCTTGCTCCTACGAAGTGTGTTTTAAGAAATTATTATTGATTGCAACCAAAATTTTTTAAAGTATTTTTTTAGTTACAAAATCCTTTCAGTAGTTATTTTTGTAAGTAAACATGTGAAATTAACTAGAATTACGAATATGACTTCTTTAAGTTGAACACATATTTCTTAAAATATTATCGCAAGATATTATAGTAAGTTATACATGGATGTTACTATCTCTTGCAGAAATCAACCAAACCAAAAAATTCGAAAAAGTTTTTAAAACTTAATCTTTTGGTATTACACGTTATCTTATGCAACCAGTGAGTGAGTCATTTTTGTTTTACTAACCATATTACCCTCTACTGCTTCCCCTAGCCTGTTTACATATTCCCTTTCCACGAAAGAAGGAAGGTGGCAGTGGCGCATGTGGTTGAAAGATGCTCGTATCGATCACATAACGTTATTATAGTCAGAATCAGACGTCGCGTGACCAAGGACTGCGTGTCTGCCTGGATATACTCGGCCAATAGCAATAGGCCTTCGCCTTCCCGCTACTAGGGCCGAGGACTAGCTGTGTTCCATTGTCTTGTTATCGTAATGCAGTGCGATTAGTCGATGCAATTACAGCGATAGTGTTAACACCCTTCATTCAAACTGACTCTGGTTTTATAAGTTTTGTGACAGCAATTCCCACTACTAGGGTCAAGGACTACGTCGTGTTCCATTGTCTTTTTATCGTTATGCAGTGTGATTAGTCGATGCAATTACAGCGATAGTGTTAACACCCTTGATTCAAACTGACTCTGGTTTTGTAAGTTTTGTGACAGCAATTCCCACTACAAGGGTCAAGGACTACGTCGTGTTCCATTGTCTTTTTATCGTTATGCAGTGCGATTAGTCGATGCAATTACAGCGATAGTGTTAACACCCTTGATTCAAACTGACTCTGGTTTTGTAAGTTTTGTGACAGCAATTCCCACTACAAGGGTCAAGGACTACGTCGTGTTCCATTGTCTTTTTATCGTTATGCAGTGTGATTAGTCGATGCAATTACAGCGATAGTGTTAACACCCTTGATTCAAACTGACTCTGGTTTTGTAAGTTTTGTGACAGCAATTCCCACTACAAGGGTCAAGGACTACGTCGTGTTCCATTGTCTTTTTATCGTTATGCAGTGCGATTAGTCGATGCAATTACAGCGATAGTGTTAACACCCTTGATTCAAACTGACTCTGGTTTTGTAAGTTTTGTGACAGCAATTCCCACTACAAGGGTCAAGGACTACGTCGTGTTCCATTGTCTTTTTATCGTTATGCAGTGTGATTAGTCGATGCAATTACAGCGATAGTGTTAACACCCTTGATTCAAACTGACTCTGATTTTGTAGGTTTTGTGACTGCAATTTCCACTGCAAGGGTCAAGGACTACGTCGTGTTCTATTGTCTTGTTATCGTAATGCAGGACGATTAGTCGATGCAATTACTGCGATAGTGTTAACACCCTTGATTCAAACTGACTCTGGTTTTGTAAGTTTTGTGACAGCAATTCCCACTACTAGGGTTGAGGTTTACGTCGTGTTCCATCGTCTTGCTATCGTAATGCAGTGCGATTAGTCGATGCAATTACTGCGATAGTGTTAACACCCTTGATTCGGACTGACTCTGATTTTGAAAGTTTTGTGACAGCAATTCCCACTACTAGGGTTGAAGTTTACGTCGTGTTCCATCGTCTTGTTATCGTAATGCAGTGTGATTAGTCGATGCAATTACTGCAATAGTGTTAACACCCTTGATTCGGACTGACTCTGATTTTGAAAGTTTTGTGACAGCAATTCCCACTACAGAGGTTGAGGTTTACGTCGTGTTCCATCGTCTTGTTATTGTAATACAGTGTGATTAGTCGATGCAATACTTCGACAGTGTTAACACCCTTGATTCTAACTGACTCTGGTTTTAATCATTTTCTGACTGCAATTTCCACTAAGGTTTGAGGACTACTACATTTGTGTTGATGTCTTGTCGTATTGCAATGCAATTTGTCGCAATTACTCCGACAGTACCAAGACCCTTGATACTAACTGACCTTGACTTGATAATGCTCCAATTATGTTTCCCATTACTAGTGTTTGAGCATTAGGTTGCCTCGTCCTGCTGGAGCACGGCAATTTTTTGGTGCAATTACTCCCATAACAGTTAGGAGAGGTTATTCAACGTTTCGTTTTTATATTTTTGGAGCGTTGACCACGTCCTAATGACCAGTTGATTTTTTTATACGAAGTTGTTGTACAAAAATTAACTATTCTTTTCTTTTTTCATCGAGCCTTACCGATATTATATGCTTTGGAAGTATTTAAGTTTTTAAGGAATGTATTAAAAAAACGTTCCGTTGATTTACATGAGGGGGCAGATATCAACTCATAGATTACATACACCATTATAAATTGATCATGCCTATGTTGAAGATAATTTTAGGGATAGTCCTGTCTGGTTTATAAAAAGCGTGATGTTGTATACTAATACATTTTTGCTATCGAACCAAAATTACAATTATTGTAACTAAATAAAACAATCTGTATACCAAGTATGTTTTTCCATCTGTATTAAGAATGTAAAGTGAATTCTGCAAACGTTAACCGTATCTTAAAAAAGGTGGAAATACTTATTTGGCATGTACATCCAAATACCCCCAACCGCAATCTAACATATCAACAAAGTGTTCATATAATACAAGAGTAAAAGGAGTCTACTTGTTCAGTAGAATTGTATAGTGTTTAGTATGTTTTAATGTAAAACAGTAGAGATCAGAATAGCATCAAACAATACAGAATAAAATATTTTATTTCTACACGTTACATAATGTAGACCCAAAACCTCAAATACCCCAAAAATTCATACAAATAATATAAAATTACCTACAACTTGTTCGTCTACACTATACAACACCGATACAGTCTATTCAACTTGTTCAACTAAACTTCCCAATAAACAGATATTACATCGAAAACACAATGAAGGGTGGTGAAACCTGAGCAAAACGCAAGGTTCGCTGCCTTCACTTTTAAAACAATCCACTGTTGCTTTGCGCAAACTAGCTCTGTTTGATGGAGAACTGTTGATTCAGAATGTTTAATGAGTGGATGAATTGGGGTAAACAGAGAATTTCGCTGACAGCAGCTCATTAGAGATGTAGTCCGGAGTCCGCCATTGTGCCTCTCCCTCGCCACGGACTTCCGGTTAAATCATCAACCGGAAATCCAACTCATCCTTCGACACTAAACATGATAATCAACGCTGGGGATTGTTTGTGGTCTTTGAACCTTGCTATGTTGAATTTGATTTTATTTCAGTCCAAAACCAATTTGTGAGAATTGATAATCTATTTTGATTGTGAGTATCAAGACAATATGTGGAAAAGATTCTTCACGTAACATCCATTGCGATATTACTTGTCGTAATAATTTTGTATGAAAATGCCTTACCTTTATTTGTATTTATAAGTATACCTTACTTTCCTTTACTAAAAATAAACTTTCAAGGTGTTTCATACAACAAACAAATCACCTAGATCCACTTAAAAATATTACAATAAAGCTCTGAGTCATTGGAATATGCTTCAAGCAAACTGTTGTTTAAAGTAGTAAAGGCTTATGCAAATCAGTCAGACTTCTATCAGTGTTCAAAATTATTGTTGTGATCTATCCAGTAGAAGCCAACTCAAAGTAAGAATACTTGATTGTTTTATTTTATTCGTTCTTGAAATTTTTATTTAATTAGTAGCAGGTAAATTGTGTATAAAGGGGCGAAAATTAGGTTTTGCTAATATTTAATTGTGAAGAAATGTAAATTCTCATAAAAATGAAAATAAATAAATCTTACATTGAATGCCAAAAATATGTTTGATATTCTGTTAAGTAAAAGGATTCTAATTGTTCGTTATTTTAAGTTTGTAAGATAAAAATAAAACAGATGTCGTTTGTAAAGAACTCAACGCATTTCGTAAGTTTTAACAGGAAGTTTTTTCATAAATACCTACAACTGTTTATAATATTGACGGTCTTAACCTAAAAAAATGTAGAAAAATATAAAGAGAATTCGGGGAATATCCTTT